ATGATGTATTCAATTACAAAAAGAAATACAAAACTACCGGATACATTTGTGTATATCTAAATCACATTTATCTTCTTAAAATTTGTATTAAATCATATTGAATGTTGAAATTTTGATTACAAAACGGCGGTTCAGTGATTTTTAGGTTTCCCATGGTGGTCTATTTTTAATTGATTCATGAATTTTAATTAAAATCTCCACAAAATCCCTGTTTGATAATTCACTTTTTTGTTTTGTTTTTAAAAATAATTACAGAGACAAAAAAATCGATATTGAACGGAACTAGTCTAACATTTATTTTTGTTTTATAGACTACATAATCCGGTTGTTTTTTTTTGGGGGGGGGGAGAGGGGAAAACCTTTTCCATATTGTTGTTTTTACTTCAAGGGAATATATAGAGTTTATATGACAGAATATTGTAATTTACTTCCAATATGTAGTTAATTTAATTTGTGTAGGCTTGTAAATTGATTTAAGTTGATACATATAATTGTAAGGTTACATAATGTTTATTCAGATGCTTAGTAAAACATTTTGTTCATTGAGATCGTACGATATAAATGTAACTGATATTATTTATTATGACTATGTCCTATTGTAAATCTTCATTCAATTAAAATGTGATTACGAAATGTTATTATTATCTTTCAGTAGTTGAAATCATGAGTCAATTGAAGCTAGACCATCATTGAAAACCTGGAAGCATTGCACAGCCGTTTCGTCCTATTGTGAGACTTCTCGGCAGTGCGCATCTACGACCCCGCCCCACGGGATTCGAACCCAGGACCTATGAGTCTTGCGCATGGCGCTTAACCATCAGACCACTGAACCGATATACAACAGTGTTAATGTCTCAATTCAACTAATCTACGAAATTGAGAGACACATCCACCATTGTCTTCATTGAGTTCCTATCTCACAACAGACCCGTTTGAATTCCACTGGTCACTGCTTCTCAATAGAACTCCAGGAAATACCTCGTGAATCCAGTTACTAGTGAACACATGATTATTATTTTCAGAATGGGATTTTGTAGTAATGTTGTTTAATAATTGATATCGTGAGTCGATTAAAGCTAGACTATCATGGAAAAACTGAAAGCACTGGACAGTCGTCTTGTCCTATTATGGGACTCCTTAGCAGTGCGCATTTTCGATCACTTCCGTTATGTGGTATATGATTGAAATTTATTGTATGATTATTTTTTTAAAGTTTGTTTATCGGTACATAAAAGGATGTTCATTATATGTAGTGTTAAGTAAAGTGGACTTCAATTTTGCTTATTATCACCCGATATAAAAGAGAAATGTAGTATTCATTTATGTCGTGGTCGAAGAGTACTTGATTATTTCAATTTGTCTATTGATGTACTATTAGAAAGTTTATTGCAATGAGTACACGTCTGTCAGTTACTGATGTGTTTAATTCAGCTTAACGTATGATTTTGAAAATTAGCTCCCACTCATACGAATTCACATACTTGAATTTCATTTCATAACAGATATTTTGGGAAGCATAATTATTAAAATAAAATGATCCCAAGTAAGATAATGAGTGAATTATTTTTTAATTCCGTTTTGACTTTACGAAACGTCCGTCCAGTTTATTCAGGTTTTTCATGATAGTCTAGCTTTAATGGATTGATGAATTCAACTACTAAATCACCACAATCACCATAAACCTCTATTCTGAAAATAAATAATACTTTCGCAATTGGAATTACTGTGAAAATGCTATAATCTCTGCAAATGTTTCATAGTAAGTGAAATCAACTGTTCTTCGGTAACTAGATTCATGATGTAACTTCTGAAGCTCTATTGAGGAGCTGTGACAAGTAGAGCTAAACCTTGTCGGATGTGAGATAGTTATCTACCGCAGGTAATGAATGAAAGGTTGTGCAAGATTATGGATTGATTGGACTTAGATAATAATATTGTTAGATACCGGCTCAGTGACCTAGAATTTAAACATTTTTGTGGGAGGCCGAAGGTCTTCGGTTTGAGTCATACGTGCGTGATCGTGGATGCACACTAGTGACGAATTCCATACCAGAACGAGACTATTGTCCAATGACACCAGATTTTTAATAGTGATCTAGCTGAAGTTAGTACATTACTTCAGCTATGAAAATAAGTAATTATACTTTTATATAGTTCCATGCTAATCAGAGTTGAAAATTAGTTGCATGTAGGTTATTTTCAATTTGTATAATTTTAGATTTACAAATAGATACAAGACTGGTTATTGATGATTTTTATCCCTTGTCTAATCCTCACAAGTGATTTTCTTTAGTTATCGATCTAACTTCTTGAAACCAAATTTTTATTATGCCAAATTATTTGACATTCTAAACTGATAATTCATAGTTACCGAATACATTACGCAGCCCCCAAATGCCCTGGTACGACCGAGAGTGGAGAGTTTCCGTTCTCCTTCTCGAAATGCTCTCACATAGCCACGCGTAGATAGCCTCTACCAGGGAAGTCCTACTCACTGACTTCTCGTAGCGGGGGTGTTGTTTACGAAATTCAGAGGACTAAAAGCAAATGTCCGGTGCTTTAACTGGGTTGTTAGACACAGAGAGTCCACATAGGGGAGTTGGAAAACTCTGATTCCAAACCAATGGTGCACACGAGCTCTAGTATCCTGAAGGAACAAATGGCGTATGAACCAATCGTTGATCACCGGTTACCACGGAACTACATCTCCTTACGTTGCTCAACTGTCTTGTTGATTAGACCTTCTGGTCAAAGGCTTTAGATGTGGCCTCCTAAGAAAACCACCTGCTTCAGTTTGGGCACCTAGGCAGTGATCCAGCCTTTCCACGAATCGAATGACGAAGTGTGGCGCATATCAATTTGTTGCCTCCTTGTATTAATGTTCATGTGTTTAAATAAATCAATAAAATAACATTACGTTTAAACATTATAATAATATGTAGCATATCATATAGTATATTTTAAAAAAATAGCAAGCGTAACAACGAACGTTTACAAAGACTAAATAACCTATTGGTTACTTTATACAATGTAAGGAATTTAGTCTAAATATCAATTGTTTGATATTCTCTGTTTACAATATGCGACATAAGTTGAAAGCTAATGAGTCAATAATAATGTTGTCGGTATTCATGTATTCATTATAACAAATGTAATTGAATATACATTGTGAAATAATGATTAAAGATTCAATAAAAGACATGAAATGAAAACAATGGAAAAAAACACATTTACATCTATGCTCTTAATTTCTAGACTTTTTTGTAAGCCGCTAGTTTATATTAATATATTAATATTGTCTGGTGGATCACAATGAAGATATTTGTTATTTCTGACAAATTTATGAAAAAGTATTTATTCATAAGTAGAGCAGAATAACAACACAAAATTAGCTGTAATTATTGGCTAGACTATAATTTATAGACGAACCAATCAGGTATAAGATAACAGGTCTCGAATTTCGGCACGAAATTCACTCATCCATTTGACTAAATAGAGTTTTATCATTATAGCTGAAGTCAGTTCATGACGAAAACCTTAGACTGAATTTCTAACCTTAACCGTCAACTTTAAATTATAATTATAATTCCTTACAATGGTTTATAACCCTCATTTGGTTCTAGTTATTTGGCGGTCACTCTCAAGGTCACTTTAGCATCGATCAAAAGTAGTCCATAAATTATAGTCTCATCAAAAAAGTCTTCAGTTTGATGCTAACAGGATCGATTAAGGTCTTTTCTTAATATACAATATAATTTAAGTGATCTCAGTATCTTTAAAATGTAGAACATTGTTTACCTATGGATTTCACTTAATTAACATAATAGAAAATTTAGTTGGTTAATATGTTTTCACATAATCATCAGTGAACATTCACTCAATATATATATGTGATTTTGATACTGGATGTTATCATCATCATTCAAAATAAGCCAATAAATCTTCCAGATAGTTGAAATCTTCATGAAGATTCATTTATATTGAAGTTCTTAATTTATAACGAATTAATGTCGGCTGTGAAACGTTTGAGGGTAATAAAGTTTTATAGATAGCCATATTGTCCGAATATGAAAATCTTGATTTGATCGATTAAATTTAACACATTTTATGCAATAGTTGAATAATTTAGTTTTAGTACATATGGTATGTGATCACATTTGGGTCCCATTGTATTACGTAATGGGTTTTTTGTAATTTTTGGTTTTTTATTTCAATTTTAAACACCTAACATAACATAGGGTATATAACTGCCAGTGAACATTATTGAGTTTAGCCAAAATATTTACGTATTAAGGTACTCAATCATGGATTTGAAATTGATAAATCAGTCTATGATCAAGTTTGTTATGATATTTTATTGCATTCATAGGTAAAAACAAGCAGTGACATTCGATCATAGGTAAATGAAGAAGATACATTCTGAAATAAAAATATCTTATATATGATAAATATTCTTTCATTTAGATAGATATTGCTTTCAGTCTTAAATAATCATTCAAAGGATAATGTACAAATTCTGTAAGATTATTATTTAAGGTCGACTTTCCTCTTATCTATGACTATTCGTTCAGTGTTTTATCCTCATGTTTGCAAAGTGCACAAAGGTCTAATGTTTGTTACATAAAAGTGAAAATGTTCACAGGAGCATAAGTTTCATTCATAATGGAGGTCAATAAACAGTTAAACAATAATGTGTTTGGGTTTGAATTGTAGATTTTGTAAATGGTAAGTTAGTAATGACAGCATACTATTTAAATGTTAGTAATATATGGTGCTTTTCAAACCTCTTGACCAAAATTTAGTGATTAAAAGAGTGTAGCACTAAGCTTACATATTTGATTGATGATGGATTGTTATAACTTGAAAAAGCTGATTTTTCTTGATACAACCGCGTATAACTGAGCACTAGAACACCAAACCCTTCCAAGTCGCAACAAGAAGACAGAAGACTAACGAAAGGAATATTATTCCAAACAGTGTCAAACATAGTACAAAAATGATCAGGTATTTATAGTTTTTGGTGAGAACGAAATCATCATTACAGTCTTCCAATCCGCGTACAGGGGGTTATTAGCATTATCCAATGGGGAAGCTACACGTTGGAATTCTAGAACATTCTTTCGAAAGGTGATTGGATGGAACGTCTTCGGCTCCTTATGAGCCTCTTACAGCTTCCTCGAGTTCACCGGTAGTCCGTCGTCACACCTCCCCCCTTTAAAGTCCGTTGTATAAGATTTTTTTCTTGGATCCACCTGAAACTTGGGTGTCGCATTCCTCTTGCGGTTCATTACTCTCGAGGGTTGTACAGCTTTCTCTCTGCGCCGTTTGTCTTTTCGATATTCGCGCTCATGATGGTTCTTCTGAGATGAATCTACGAGCAATTGAAATGGAAGCCGGTTTTCTGTGACCACTATACTATCATTTCTTTGCATTTGATTTATATGTCTTATGCATTTCCCGACATCTTTCCGGACTAGGTACAGCACATTTCCGATTCGACGTTCTATGACACCTGGTTCCCACTTCCTATTACCTTGATACGATCTGACAAGTACTTTTTCACCCACCTGGAAGCTACGATTGACCTTACGATTTTCATTCGTGGGTTTATTTGTCTTTCTGGGCGGCAACATACTGTTAAAAACTGTCCGGATTTTCCTTCCGAACATACACTCGGCCGGAGACTTTCCTTCTGGTACTGCCGGATTAGGGGTAACTCTGTAAGACATCAAGAACTTATTAATCACTTGTTCCGGGACACCCTCACCTCCCCCTTTGACCAGAGCTCTTTTAATTGTATCCACGAATCTTTCTGCCTGGCCATTCGACTGAGGATGGTATGGAGGAGATTGTAGATGCAATATGCCATTCTCGTTGCAGAAGCGTTTGAAGGCAGATGACATAAACTGAGTACCATTGTCAGTCACTAAGATCTCTGGAACCCCAAAACAGGCAAACAATCCTGACAATCTTCTTATGGTACTCTCTGAAGTCGTATTCGGCATGTCATATACTTCCGGCCATTTTGTGAAAGCATCTACAACAACTAAGTAATTCCTGCCTTGTATCGGTCCGGCGAAATCAGCATGTATTCTTTGCCAAGGCCCGTCCGGTTTAGGCCATGGTTGTGGCTCAGCTCTCGTTGGATTCTTTGCAGCCTCTTGACAGGACCAACAGCTGCGACATTTTTGCTCTATCTCATGGTCCATTGACGGCCAGTATGCATAGCTACGAGCTAGTGACTTCATTTTACTTATCCCCGGATGCCCGTTGTGGAACTGTTTAACGACTTGGTGTCGAAGATTTCTGGGGATAACGATACGATGGCCAAACATTATACATGAATCGACAACTGTTAATGACTCTCGTCGACGAAAGTATTGTAAGAGTTCTCCGTGTAATCTCGATGAAGGCCATTTATTGAGTATGCAATGGCGAACAATCTTTAATATATTATCCTTCTTGCTGGCCTCTTTAATTGCTTCAAATGTGACCGGGAGTCCGGAAACTGCGTCTGACAATATTTTGTGAACCTCGGCCTCGACATCTATAGCAGCTACAAGCACCTCTTCTTCTTGTTTTTCATGCAGACCAATCAATCTTGAGAGTGCATCTGCCTGTCCGAAATCCGTTGTTGGTTGATAATTTATCTTGAAATCATAACCCAGCAGTGTGGTAGCCCATCTCTGTAGTCGGTTTGCTGTATATACCGGGATGCCTTTTTTAGATCCAAAAACTGTCAATAACGGTTTATGGTCTGTAAGTAAGGTGAACTGCCGACCAAATAACATCTTGTGGAACTTTTTTACAGCAAATATAATCGCGAGGGCTTCTTTTTCTATTTGACTGTAGTTTCTTTCAGTCATAGTCAGAGATCTTGCAGCGTGAGCGATTGCTTTCTCAGAACCGTCAGGGTAGGCATGTGAAATTACTGCTCCAATTCCGTAGTTCGACGCATCTGCTGCGACTATAATTGGAAGATCGGGATCATAGTGTGTAAGGAGAAGATTCGATGATAGAAGCTGCTTCAGTTTTAGGAATGCTTCTTGGCATTCAGTTGACCAGAACCATTTAGTATCCTTTTTCAATAAGCAATTAAGAGGAGCACGATGGCGATGCAGATCTGGCAGAAAAACTCCATAATGACTAACCATTCCCAAGAAAGAACGTAAAGTTGACACATCCGTCGGTGGAGGCATGGACTTAATGGCTTCGACATTTTCAGGATCAGGTTTTCTCCCGTTTTTATCAATTATGAATCCCAAATACCGGACTTGCTCCATGTAAAAATCACATTTTTCGGCACGCAGTCTTAATCCATAATCTGCTATGCGTCTGAGAACCGTATCCACCTTATTCTCTAAATCAGCATAGTCTGTACCCATGATCAATATATCATCGAGATAAGCCGCGGTACCAGGAATGTCTTGTAACATAGTGTCCATAACTTGTTGGAAGATTGAAGGGGCAGTCTTTACTCCAAAAGGAAGTCGGTTATATCGGAACAATCCCTTGTGAGTGTTTATTGTCAAGTAATGCTTACACTCATCCGCTACCGGAATCTGTAGATAAGCGTCTGATAGGTCTAATTTCGCAAAATACTTACCCCCATTCAGTTTCGCAAATAAATCCTCTGGTACCGGCAATGGGTATTGATGGGCTTCAAGCGCTTCATTTAATCCAGTCGAATAATCTGCACATAACCGGATACTTCCATTAGGCTTTTTAACAATCACTATTGGAGCTGCCCAATCAGAAAAGTTTACTGGTTCGATTATTCCACTTATTTTCAGACGCTCTAATTCTTGTTCAACAATAGGTAGTGCTGCATAGGGTACCGGACGTTTTGGTCTGAAGACGGGGGTGACTCCCGGTTTAAGAATCAATAGTGCTTTAACCTTTTTGCATTCCCCCAACTCTTCCGTAAACACTTGACTGTGTCTTTCTAATACAACACTCTTCAGATCCTTTTCCACAGGTTTACTGGTTCTCACTGCGCTGCATATGTGGTTAATGGGGTGATTTACTAATTGAAGTGCTTCTATCAAGTCTAGACCTAGCAAATCTAGTCCTGGATTCTGTGTAAGATATAAAGTTGCATTCGTTTTCGCATTTCCTTTCGAGACTGTACAACAAACCTCTCCAACAATATTTAGTTTTCCTCCAGATGCGCTGTGAGCTAACTGGGTTGTTGGGAGCACCTGTGGTTTACCGATAAGACTCCAAGTTCTCCGACTAATAAGTGTGATGTCAGAAGCGGTGTCGAGTTGCAGGCGGGCACGCTTTTTATTTATAACCAAGTTTACATACTTTCTTTGGCGGCATATTCGTGCTCGATTATGTGATACCAATATTTTGTTAGTTCGAGCACTAAATCTGTATTTCTTCGAGTAGGGTTTCAAAGAATGTCGTTTATGGGTTCTCTTTCTGCAGCAGTTTTCTTTATGTCCCTTGCGATGACACTTGCTACAACAATGTTCTTTATATGGACAGAACCTTTTATAATGCCAACCACCACAAGACCAACATGGAGATGAAGGCTGATTATCTGTGTGCGATGCCTTTCTTGAGCAAGAATCATTCTTTCCGCTTACAGCACGAACGTATGGCAACTGGCCATTATTTTCGACCATCGAAGTGTCATGCTTTAGGTTCACCAATCTCTGGCACTCTGCGGTTACTTCTTGTAGTGTCATATTCGGACATTGTTCAATTTTACTTAAAATTCTAGTTCTAATATCGGCATCTTCGGGAGATTGGAGGCTGCACACAAATACGAGACACTTAAACTGGTCTTCTGTCATTGCAGATAGTTTGAAACGCTCACATTCACGGTTTACTAAACCCGCATGTTTCACCCAGTCATCATCAGCTGCTTTTGTCATCTTGAGACACTGATAACGAATATTAAACAAGGATGACTGTTCAGCAAAGATTTGCGACAAAATTTCAATCGTTGCATCAAAAGAAAAATCTCTTGGATTCTTTGGAAGGATAAAGTTACTGTAACGTTCATGTTCAACAGTTCCAAGTTTTCGCAAGAGTATTCTGACCTTAGCGGCGTCATCAAGCTTTTTGAGGTCGACCTTGAACAGATCTTCATATTTCTTCAACCAAGTTTCAAAAGTAATGGCAGCTGAACCATCAAAATTAAATTCATGGATAGAATTAACAATCTGGTCAACATGAGATCTGAAGGGATCATCTGTAACTTCTTTTTGATCCAGGTTCATTTTCTGAGTTAGCATCTCTATCATGCGCGTCTGGAACTGTTCAAAACGTTTTTCTTGGCGTTCCAATAAGGCTTCAAATTGTTCAAAGGTAAATGACATATTGGTACAATAACCCGTCGCCAGATGTTATAACTTGAAAAAGCTGATTTTTCTTGATACAACCGCGTATAACTGAGCACTAGAACACCAAACCCTTCCAAGTCGCAACAAGAAGACAGAAGACTAACGAAAGGAATATTATTCCAAACAGTGTCAAACATAGTACAAAAATGATCAGGTATTTATAGTTTTTGGTGAGAACGAAATCATCATTACAGTCTTCCAATCCGCGTACAGGGGGTTATTAGCATTATCCAATGGGGAAGCTACACGTTGGAATTCTAGAACATTCTTTCGAAAGGTGATTGGATGGAACGTCTTCGGCTCCTTATGAGCCTCTTACAGCTTCCTCGAGTTCACCGGTAGTCCGTCGTCACATGGATGAACAGGATTTTCGATATAATTCAAACCGTGTTTTCGTTTAGAAATATGATCGAACATTTACCAATCAACATTTAAATAGATTATGCTATCTCTTTAGAAGTCATTACAAACTATTCTAGTATAACTAGAAACATGAATACGCTTAAACAATGTAGCTTTTCAAAAATAATTCCGAATTAGTGAAATTTCAGATTAGTTAAATTAAGTGTTTATATCAAACTCGATGAATAACAGGTGAAGCGTTAGATTTGAATTATTTTTTCTGTCAAGCAACATTGAAGTCAGGACTCTCAATACAAGATAGTTCCACTGTATAGAGCGGAAACTTGGAGAACTACTAAAGCTATCATCCAGAAAATACAAGTGTTTATTATTAGTAGTCTACACAAATACTTCGAATCCGTTGGTCAAACACTATCAACAACAACCTATTGTGGAACAGAACAAACCAAATTACAGCAGATGAAGAAGTCAGGAAGAAGCGCTGTAAGTGGTTAGGATACACATTGAAGAAAGTACGCAACTGTGTCAAAAGACAAGCCCTCACTTGGGATCCTCAAGGACAAAAATAGAAGAGGAAGACCAAAGAACACCGAAAAATGGAGACAAACATGAAAAGAATGAACCACAATTGAATAGAACTGGAAAGGAAGGTTCCAGACGGAATGAGTGAGTTGGAGAATGCTTATCATCGGCGGTAATAGGCGTAAGTAAATAAAACAAAACTCGAAGTCTTAGGTTAATTCATCTTTTTCTTCATACTTCTTACTTATGTTTTACTTGTAATATTTCAGTATTATATTCAACTCAACAAAGAAAGGAAATATCTATTGTATTGAATAAAATATTTCCTTTCACTTGACGATTAATTTTTCATATGATGGAGAAAGTGAAAAAAATAGAAGTATTCTTGACAATGGAGAAAAACACACACACAAACACTATGTATTTCTATAGATGATAGAAACCAAGTATTGGTAACGAGAATGATCAATAAAGAAATATAATTTTTCAAATCAATTATTATTTTTTTACCGGAGGAAAACTAGTGAGAGAAAGTGATTTTTTTTCTAGAATTGATTGAAACAAATACTCCCCCCATCCAAAAAAATAAAGAAAGAAAGAAATTGTTGGCGACGTACTTAATATTAAGGCTAATAAAAAATTTGTTTTGTTTTTCGCTTCAGGCATCTAACTTATTAGGGTATTGCATTTCATTTTAAAAAGTTAGTGGGAATTTTCATAAAAATAAATTAGCGAGACTATGATTTGTGGATGAGCCAATCAGAAATGTTTTAGGGATTTCAAGGTCATGGCATCAATTTCAGTACCTGATACTCATGTACGATCGGTTCATAGTGGATTTTAGAGAAAATGTGAGACTATAATAAATGGGACCACTAAGAAGTTACTTCATTTGTGATTGTGGTAATCAAATGATTTGTGGACCTTGTGCAGACTACCGTGATGATGTTGTCTTTCGTTGTAATATGTGTTGGAGGAAGACATCTACTAGAATAGGATCATTTCGCTCGATCTAGATTGAGACTAAGGCAAATTATGACAGT